TGGCAGAACCAGTTTTTTCGAAAAAAATTGTCTTCGAGAAGATTGAGTTTAAATATTACTTCCGGGCGCGAAATTCAAGTCTGCTACTGCGTCACAGCAGACACTGGCGAGGCATATGCCAACGGGGCTGGGTGTAGCGTGTTTTCTTTGCGTTTCCAGTGAAACTGTCGAATGAGACAAACCTCTATATTTACTAGGATGTCCAGGTGACGCCGCGTCCAGTATGCCTTACGCCCTTGCCTAGCCTTGCATTACGCCCTGAAGAAGGTCGCAGAGTGGGAACCGAAACGTCGGCACCTTCGCCATGAACGCGGCGTCACCCGGACAGCCTAGTAAATACTGACTCCGGCCGCGGAAGCCTACGCTCTCACGAGACAAACCTCGCTTGCCGCACACTAGAGTACTTTAATATTACCAAGTGTGTACTATTTATGTGTACTATTTACTTCCCTTTGTGACTCTGGTATAATATTTTCCCACCACGTTTTTTGATGTGGTTTCTAATAATTTGTACTTCCCGCCTGAATCTACCTATTAGTTTCTATCCTTGCTTATGAGATGGAGTATACATGCGTTTATGTAGCGCCAGGTGTAACTTCCAGGAATTAAGTATTTCTCCCTGTGGTTTGTTGTGAGCAGATATTTTTCTCATTGCAGATCATTCGTGTGAAGAAACATTTCTTAAGGGCTTTCTTTCCGTGCTAGAAATTTGCAAGGTTGTAGTTTGCGCAGTAGTGTCTAGCCTATAATTAGTGGAAATGTTATTATATTTTAAGCATTTTTACGCTGAAATATTGTAATAAGAAAATAGAATAAAATCTCCCGCGTTATTTCAAACAGACTACTTACATTTGTTTTTAGTTTAACATTATTTTTACCGCAAATGTGTTATGAATGATTATACATAGTGCTGTCACAATATTTGACTTACTTGGAGGCCGACTGTACGCAGTATATTTTTAATATTTTATTTCTCTAAGTAGGCTGTACATTTTTTTATTTTATCTATGTCATTTGTTTTCTAGTCATGGCGAGTACATCACAAATTCTCTCCTGGTTAGGTGAAATTAGTGATGAACGAGCATTCAACTCATATAATGATGGGGAATCTGATGCCGATGATACCGTACTTCCTGGTATGTAGCATGTTTCTCTGTGAGTGCTACCTGTACAACTCATTGTTGCAATTTTGCCGAGCAATAATTTCCTCATCCTGCCTTCACTTTGTTTCCCTCTGATCTCCGACACATTGATCCCTATCTAACATGTAGCCGGAAAACTTTATCTTTTCACCTGCCGCGCCTGATGAGAGCAGATTTTGGCACCTTGTCATGCAACCTTTCAAAAGATTTCCCACCTCCCGTGTATTACAACTGCGCAACGTTGACTCATTGCATTCTTTTAACATATACAGATAAGATACAGATCTATATTTTCTGTATTTATTATAGGTGGAGATTCTTTGTCATCTGAAAGGTGAACAGCTTCCACGTTATCAAATTTAGAAGCACTGAAATAATTATATGCGTCGTCATTGTCAATAATATTATTTATTAAAAAAGCAGCTTTCGATGGCTAAGTTATCATCATCAGTTTTCTGCTGAATGGAAGCCTCAGAAACGACTTTAAAGTACTTTTTCCTTCCTCGAGTGGTTCCCAAAACTGTCCTATAAGAAAATGTTGCAGGAACATTGTTTTTTCTTCTGATAATAACTCAAACCTCTCTGATGGTTTTGTTGATGAACCAGATGATTAATTTATTACTTCTGCGGAACAATGTGTACCTCTAAATTGTACAATTATTCCGAAAAGCGAGACGTGTGATAAAAGTGACAATGAAACACTAAATGAAAGCAGTTTCACGTGGTCAAAATCAGTTCAATATCCAATTTCCTTCAGTAACAAACATTTTTCATAGCAATTTGGAGTAAAGCAACTCACTAATATTAAAAGTTTCTTGATTATTTTTCTTTTAATTTTGGACAACAACGTTTCTCAATTTGATGGAACAAAGTAACCTGTAATTGCGGTAAATTGGGAGGGATTTACCTTTTATCATTGAAGAACTAAAATCATTTATAGATGTATTGATTTTTATGGGATTTTAAAAATATCAAATATCCAACTCCACTAGATCACTGAGGAAAATTTCATTCAGAAAGAATATCTTGGGTAATGGGCTTGAATCGATTTCTAAAAATATTATAGAAATTACATCTCAATGTCAACGACAAAATGCCTGATAAAGAATCATCCAATTTTGACAAGCTTTATAAAGTTTGACCTCTTATTTCGCATTTACTACCTATTTTTCCGGTTTTGTTTTCGCCATTAAACGACGTTTCCATGCAAAGGCAGGGTGGGATTCAAGGGTGGTAGAACAATGAAACAGTACATGCCTCTCAAGCCCGTGGAGGTGTGGGTTCGCTGTTCCGCTGTCACTAGTACCATGCTTTTCTTTGATATTTACCCAGCAAAGAATTAGGATGAAAACCCTCAACCACTTTTAATGGAAAAAGTCATTTCCTCTCCTACCCGTGCACTTGAAGGTTCCTATTTTTGCGGGTTTTTTGATATTTTTAGCAGTATTTTTTTAATCCTCCTCTTTCTAATCCATTCGGCTGATGTCGCGAGCCCTTGCATTTGAAACCGATATTTTAATTTAGGGGGTACTTTACATGAAACTCCTGGGGTATTTTCAAAATGTTCAAAACAATGGCTCCATTGTTTTTTATTAAATTTTATTATTGGATAGTGTGAAAAATGCTTAAAAGATTGCTGCAGATTTCATGTTCATTGAAAACACTGGTTTTTAGACAATTGTAAAAGATCACATTTTTTCGGAATCTTCTTACAACTAAAATTTTAAAGATAGAGATTTATCCTTCAATGAAATCTGTTCCTTAAAGATAGATTTTGAAATAAGGTTATGAACAATTTTTCGAAAATTTCAGTACTTTTTGCGTGAAAAGATGGGCGTGAGAGTACGTGGTTTTAGCCCCACTAGTTTTCATTTCATAAGCCAGCTAAGATCCCATTGAGGAGAAGGGCCTCCTGTCTTTTTGCAGGGAATACTGTACGAAGTAATAGGGTGATGAGAGGTGAAAGGGCGAGCACAAATACAACCATGCCTGAGGCAAAACTCGAACCCGAGATCCTTCGGTCCGAAATTACCGGGGCCCTTGGGCACTTACAGCCTTAGCAATATCGGCCACATGGACCTGCTTGGATTACTGTTAGTAAATGAATTGGTAGGAAACTTTTGCAGTAGAAAACGATCAGGCTATCCTGCGACTGTAGGGTTCAGTAAGAAACGAAACACCCTCATAGTAGAACCACAATCGCTAACACCATGCCACTGCCATATGTTGGCTCGTATTTACCTGATAAAATCCAAACTATAGGCTTTGGAATCATTGTAGCACTAAAATGAAGAAAAAAATAAGTAATTTAATTTGTAGTGAATACAATGTTGAATTGTGCAAACGTTGCTTTGTTCCATTTCATGTATCATAAATGTGAATTTGTTTTACTTGATTTAATTATTTTATTTTATTTTTTCATTTTATTCTATATTAAAATCCCACTTGTTATTACAAATATTAAATTACAACCTATAACAGTATTGAACTTGCGTTGTACGAAGATGGGAAGATACTATTATCCAAAAAAACTGCATGTATACGGTAGTCCGCAACGATTATTGGGGTAACATCCTCCCACCTCATACCTTACAAAATAAACATATATTTTATAAAAGGTGATATTATTAGATAAGAATTTCCTCTGGTTAAACTACCAACAAAATATAACAATAATCATTCTCAATATTTTGCACCTTAAAGGGTTAAATTTACTGAAAATCATTTTTTTGGTTGTTATAAACACGGTATGCAGCAGCGTAACAATGAACGCTGATCACGAACCAACGAATTGAAAGTAACAAAATGTCGAGAAAACAAGAATGTGAATTCGCTTCCGGAAGTAATATTTAAACAAAATTTTCTGGAAGGCAATTTTTTTCGGAAAAACTGGATCTGCCATTATTCATGAAAGTTAGGGTAGAATCTGGAGTATTGTTTTGTATCGGGAGCTTTTGGACAATAAATAAATATCAGATGAAACTCGTGGCTTCGTCACAGGGAATCACGAAATAACCAACCAACCAATAAATAAAACCGCAAAGAAACTGGACATGGAAGCTGTACATGGTACCGTTTCCAGACTGTGAGTGTGGTGCCCCACAGACACTGCGTCACTCAGTGGAGAGTTGTGAACTCACAACCCATCGTAGGGATGCGGTCGATTTCCTGTATTTGACATGAACGGCGTTGGAATGGATTTAGACGCCGGACTTGCTCCTCTTGGAACTAACCATTTTTCTGTACTCCTCTGAAGACTTAGTGTTGTGATGTCACATTGTGACGTATTGGAGTGAGTTTGCTGTATTATGGGTCTTGTGCGCTTGCCGTAAGATAAACCGGGAGAGATGGCTCAACGAATCAACCGATGTCACTGCAGTCTCTCTATCTGGGAGGTCCTAGGTTTCACTTCTGACGGTGTCTGGATTTTCGACACTAGCTAGAGAGATAGGTCGAATTCAGTCGCTGTCTGGAGGAGAATTGTAGCGGCCGGTTGCTCTGATCGATAGTTTTCCGTGGTTTCTCCGACCAACACCAGGCGAATGCCAGAGCAGTTCACTAACAAACGGGTCACGGACCACGCGCGATCTTTCCTACCTCTTCCTTGTCCTATCCTCACCCCTTACTTACACACACTGACATTCACTACACTACCATACATGCCGGGAGGCCGGTCGGGAGCTTAGAGCTTGTCCCGGCTAGGGCGGTACCCTGCTGATGGGAGATACCTGGTTGGGGAAAATCCCGCTAACCGACGGTAGATCGGCGCCGGATCTGGCCACCATGCGGGGGAAGACCACGCCACCTCAGAGTAAAAACATACACTACACTTACGGGACTAACGACCTGAGTAGTTGACGCTCCCGAAATCATCAATCAGCCGTAAAGTAAATATTTTTTTTAAATAAATAAAAAATAAAAGAAACGAATCCGCAGGTACCAACCTCCGCAAAGTGGACTCGTACGACAGCGGCATCCTGCGGAGCGAGCTGCGCCTCAACGAGGCGTCAACGCTGTCGCTGCCCGGGGCGCCCAGCGCGGGCACCTCCCCGGGCGCCGCGTCCTGCGCCTCGCCACCGCCGGCCCGCCCGCAGGCCGCGAGCCGCGTCCGCGGCCCAGCCGGTCTCCGCGGGCCCGCCGCCGCGCCCGCCGCCGCCGCCCCAGGCGCCGCCGCGCGCGGGCCGCGCAGGCGCTGGGGATCCTCGCCCCGGAGTCACAAAGAGAATCATCGCCAACATCATGGACTTCAAAGGTTGGACGTCCAAGCTGGAGTGCAGCGCCTGCATCAGAAGGTGGGTGTTGTGTTGTGACCCGGAATAAATGTTGCAAACTTTCTAATGGTATGTGGAGGTGTCGAAATAATCACGTTTTGCCGATGAACACGTAGTGGGAAAAGTTCATAATATTAAGGAGTTACAGACGTGCCCTTCGAATTCCTACTTACGTGACTCAGTGCAACAAACTGATTCTGGTTTTGAGTCGCAGAGATTGGAGGATTTTTTCCACTCTGACTACGACAGCTAGATTAGAAGTGGAAAATCTTACTTCTTATTAATTTAAACATAGTTATTGAAAAATGATTATTGTCATCAAACAAAAAAGATATCAATATTACATTTTGTGTTTAGGACTATACGTAAAAGTTGCATTACAATCTAGCAAAACAAATTATCCCATCCCTAGAGCTACACAATTATTAATAGTTTCTATCAAATCAAATTGTGTATCTGAATTCGTTTTAAGATTCATATTCATTATTGTCATTGTTTCGACAAAACATTTCCCAAAATAAAAAGTTAATGGTTCTTGAAGCTCTCTGTAACAGGTCCGTCATGTTCCGGCAGATTGCTCTTTAAAGTTCGCCCTACGGTTGCAATGACGCGTTTCTTATTATGCGCCCCCACACTCGTAGAATTGAGTCTCCTCCCCACCCACCGCGTCCGTCCGTATTTGCAATGGAGTTGCTCGCGCGGCGCCCCCGAAGGTCAGTCGCAGAGTGGCAAAAATTCTGAGCGGCCTGCTCTAGTCCTCGCGCAATGGTAACGTGCCTGCCGTAATGCGACCCGCTCTTCTGGGTGCGGCACGGTGGCCGCAATTGGAGGAGAGCTGCTTGGCCGGAGGTGCTGTCCGGCTGCGCCGCCCAGCACGGCGTTCCACCTCCTCCGCCAGTCGCATCGCCGCCTGCAGGACGACCCGAGCGGCGGCGACCCCACCCAACCTCCGCCCGCGCCGCCGCCCGGTGCTGCAGGTGCCCAAGGCCGCGACAGCTGCCGCTCCAAGGAGGCGGCGCGGCGGCGGCTGGGCGGCGGCCGGCGGCGGCGGGCGGCGGCGGGCCTGCTGCCGCGCCCGGAGGCCTGCCGGGCCCGGGGGTAGGGCGGGCTCATCCTCCGCAAGCGGCGCAGCACAAGTCGCGCCCACAAGCACGCCGCCCCCAGGCGTTGCCCCTGCTGCCCCGGCGGCCGCACGGTGCACGCCCGCAGCAGCTGGCGGGCGCAGCCCCCGGCGCTCCAGCCCCACGGAGAGCGCGCGCATGCTGTCGCCGGCCAGCGCCCCGCCCACGCCCACGCAAGACCCCGCCGGCGACGCGGACGCGCAGCAGAGGGCCTTGCTGCTGCACGGGGCCGGGGCCGGCGGCGGCAGAGGGGCCGACGACGATAAAAGGACGTTCAGGAGGCCGAGGGACTTCCTCTAGCGGAGGCACCGCGACCGGGGCCACGCTGAGCCGAGCGGCGAGACGGCCCCCACGTGCGGGTGGAGCGGGGCAAAATGACCGCTAGAGTGCGATGGAATCGCCGCGCCGCGGCGCGCGGAGAAGAAAATGGCCGCTGGGCTGGGCGGACAAGATGGTCGCCAGGCTAGGCGCGGCCGTGTGGGTGTTGTTTTAGTTATTGCTTTCGTCTGATCGCTTTTCTTTCTCGTTTGGGTTGTTGTCGTCATGGTGTTGATGTTTGCGCGAGTTGGTGCTCTCTGTCTCTCTTTCGCTCTGTGGAGTTGGGAATGAGAACGGTCAGGTGATGTTGGTCATGGGGCAATGTAGTACGAAACGAATGATGCGTTCACAAATGAAAGATGTAGATGACTGAGACATCTTGGTGATGAGAGCACGCTTTTCTCTCTTCTGTAAGTTGTTATTTCTATGACACCTACAATCTCCTCAACTTGAACAGTCTGGTTTTTAGATTTTATTTCTTTCCTCTTTATGTTTTTAAGAGCAATTAAGATTTTTTATCATTCATTTATAGAATATTGTCTCGCCTCTTAAAAATTGAAATTTCTTTTCATTCATAAAACGTTGTAAGCTCTTAGAAAAGCTTTGTGGCACTGTTAATTTTAATTGAAAAGTTTTGCATTTTCCATTTCTATGTTGTTTCTACTCTTGAATTTCCGTATTTCAGAACTTTTATTTTGAAAGTATTGCTTACATTACCCCACGTACTAATATTGAAAACGGATCGTAAAAATAACGTTTCAGAAGAGTTTTTTAATAACTTGTGGTTTGGTTAAGCTTATTAAAAGGGCCTAATTTTGAACACGTTTCTGTTTCAATCCAATGAGCGTGAGCGTACCTCCAAAAACGTTTTATTGCTCACTATTTTAACACCTATGATATGAATTAATTGGATAAATGGCCTTACCTTACTTGCAACTGGCACTAGAATGAAGACAACAATCATGAACACACAGAGGGAAAGAGAGAGCATGTTTTCTAAGCAGACAAAGTGCTTATCTTATTGCTCTAGACTTGCAACGAAATAAGCTGCATTTTGTCTTCATTTATTGGTGAATTAATGCACAGTCACAAAATGAATTTGTCCACATAGCAAAGTGCATGTCTCATTTCAAATATCAAACTCTCAGATTTCATTTGAGGTTTTTTCTGAAAATGAACTTAATTTAAGAGATTAATTACCTTATTCATGAATTTCATTGAAACGAAGATAGCAAAACTGTTGTGCAATCACGAATATATTTTTTTTTATTTTCATGGCTTGAATTGCAAATTTATTTATTTGAAAATTTATTGAAGATTCACTGCTACTCAAAGTGTGTTTGCAATTTGTCTGCTCAGCCAATTGAAATGAAGATCACAAACATCTCAGATTCAGAATTTCAAGATATCTAGAAAAGCCTGTATCACATTTTTTAACATAATCCTTTCAATATTTTAATAGATAAACACTGTTGAGTAAAGAATGACTAGATACTAGTATTTTTGATAATTATTAGGTAAACCTTTAATTCAAGCTTTAAGATTATGAAATTAACTGGAGATTTAATTTTTGACTTAATTTATTCTAATGACTTGTTAAAGAATTAGAATCGCTTTGAGGAAATCCTTCATTCAATAATTAGTTGTTTTCAGTTTCCACATGACACCTTAAAATAATTTTAAAAGCTGAATAATGCAGCAAATTCAAAATATGCTGTGGCATAATCTTTGAAATCTCAAAAGTATTTTGTTACATAAAATGGTTTTTACAAAGTTTACTTAGAAAATATGACTAAGAAAAAATTCAGTTAAAATAACAATGAAAAAAGTAATGCCAATGAAAGAGAACAGAGATTTATGAAAATGTGTGGCAAATCTCTGCTTCTCTTTTTTCACTTGGTACCGTTTCAGTGCTCAACAGTTTTGTCTTAAATCTATCACTTCAGTAGTACTAATAATAATAATATTTATTATTACTATTATTATTGTGAGGTACATATAATCATGTTGAATAAAATTATTTATAGTGTTCTTTTAAACCAATATTCTTACCTTCATAATATTGTTATTAAATAAAGATCATTAATTTCATTTTACTTTAAAAGATAGAATAAAATAATGATCAGGTGAATTATATGCCTTCATTAACTTCTTCTTGATAATTTTTACTTCATAAATTATTACTATAATGAATTTTGTATTATTAAAAGTATTGCTGTACGTAATCATCTTTTTTTTTTTATTTTACAACCTTCTTTTTATTGGTGGGAGCATCACCCTTTTCTAGATTTGGCTTAGAATGGAAAATACCAAGAACATTGGAAATTCACTGAGAGCCTGTGCATTGATCCACATATCAACTGTTGATTTTGAAAAGCATTTAATGAGAAAGAAAGGTCTGAAGAAGTGATGGCTTTCTTTGCTCTGACATGAAATGCACTTGTAGTGCAAGAGATTACAATTATGCATTCTATGCCATACTAGTTCAGGTACTCGTTTAAGCAAAATGATGAATGGTATTTCCTTAATCACTTTTCTATAGAACTGTCATATAGGTTTAGAATTTATTAATAAGGTTCTTTGCTCATATTTTCTCTTCAAAGAAGCAATTAAATTTTCTGTTACATTTTGTACATGTTATATACAGTATTTCAAATTAAGTAGTATATTTCCTTAAACTGACTTGTCATGAAATATTTCAGTTTAATATGTGCAGTATACCTCTCAAACTATTTTTAACTTGTAAAGATAAACTGGAAAGATGAAAGTGTTGACAGATTTTGATGGTAAATCTTTCTTACAAATACTATTTTTTACCTCATTCAAGCATATATAAATATGAGTTTGTTTAAATGATAGTGTTTTGAAGTGTCACTTCCATTTCTTTAAGTCAGGTGACATTTTCACTGCAAAATACTCACACTGTTGCCTTCAATTGTCAAAAATGAATTCATTGATATATATATGCAATTTGTATATTGTTTTCACTATACATATACTACTATACATAAAATATTTCTTCTTATGAGGGAGACAATTTGTGATATTGGAAAGAGTTACCCTCAGCATTGTAGTATACAAGGATGAGCGGGTTGTTAAATAGGATTATTGTAGATTAACAAACTTAGGTATTCATGAAAAATTGCCAGCAAGTGCAGAAAGAAATAGGGCTCAAGAAATATCTCTACAGATTTTGTAGAGTAAACAGTACCACTATCCAAACCAATCCGTTCAAATATAGCCAATTTGATTGGTTGTGTAACTGATATCAACAGGGGAAATGGTACAAAAGTTTGTATGTTAATTGCCCGTGCCACAGTGACACTCAGTAAGTGAAGTATTGTGATGTGACAGCTAAAAGATGATGTGTGTTCGTTCCTGTGTGAATGACAAGACAGAATCATCCTGTTGCCACACAAGGGGCAATAAACTTGAAATAAAAAGAAAAGGATGAAACATATGCAAAGAGAAGCAGTAATCTCTTGATGAAGAGAGAAAAAGAAGATGTGAAGTCACAGTGATTATCATCATAATGTGGATTATTCAAATTTACAATGAAACAATGAAAAGGCAATTAAAAATAATTTTTTGTCAGTATCAATTTAATAAGATAGAAAAAAATTATCATATTATTATAAGAAGTATAGATAGTACACATTCCATTATTAATATTGTATTCACACACCACAACTTTTTTTCATAATAGTTTAAAAGATATTTAGTATGAATTTTTTATATGGACACTTACTTTACATACGGTTAGCCACACAAAAACTGATATCGCTTGATATGAGAAATGATTTCTTCTTTTGAAAAAGCAAGAAACAAATGAAATGTTGACTTTATCGATAGCAATATTTAGCTCTAAACTACCTATAAGAATTTTAGGAGTTAATTAAAAGATCAGTAACTAAGCATCTACAATGTACATGCCCTTCTTACATCACAC